AAGCGGGCCAGGCCGGTGAGAATTAAATGTGAGTATAGTCGCGTGCGTGAGAGAGAGAGAGAGAGAGAGAGAAAGAGAGAGAGAGAGAGAGAGAACGAGCGAGTGAATTTCACCACTTTTCTCGTTCACAGGCCGACGCAGAAAGATAATCGTTACTGTTTCCGACAAAGTATGTAAAGATAAATCGTTGTCGTGGTCGTATAATGATTTACACGTAAACGTATGTGTCGTATATTAATCGTCTCTGACATCAAAATGATACGACATGCGTTTACGTGAAATTGCGTTAACCTACGACTACGATTTGCGTTTTCGATCTTTGTCGGAAACAGTAACGATCATCTTTCTTCGTCGGCCTGCGAACGAGAAAAGTGGTGCGAAAATGTGCGAGTGAACGAGCGAATGGATTGGTGTAAAAACGTGCGAGTGAGCAAAGAAGTCGCATGGAAATAAACGAAAGAGAGAAAAAGAGAGAGAGAGTGAGTGAGTGAATGAGTGAGCGAGCGAGCGAGCAAGCAAGCTCGAGAAAGAGAGAGAAGAGAGATAGGCTATACTATTAATTGTTTTCTTGTTTTTCAGCAAAAAGTACAGGCTGCTGCACACCAGTAACGGTGGCAGCGCCGGCACCGCCGCCACCATCACCGGCGAAGACAGCGGCACCGCCGCCACCACCACCGGCGATGACAGCGGCACCGCCGCCACCACTGGCGATGACAGTGGCATCGCCACCACCACCGGCGATGACAGTGGCACCGCCACCACAACCGGCGATGACAGTGGCACTGCCACCATCACCGGCGATGACAGTGGCACCGCCACTACCACCGGCGAAGACAGCGGCACCGCCGCCACCACCACCGGCGATGACAGTGGCACCGGCACCACCACCGGCGATAACAGTGGCACCGGCACCACCACCGACGATGACGGCAGCACCGCCACCACCACCGACGGCACCGACGATGACGGCAGCACCGCCACCACCACCGACGATGACAACGGCACCGCCACCACCACCACCAGGAACGGTGATTATGAGAAAGGTAAATACGTTACATTTATCTATATTTTAGATGCTAAATATATCACGAAATTCAATTTGATTCATCATCTGCGCATTTTTCTTCTATTGTCATTCGATCAATGA